GGATGTTCTCGGTCCTCCGAACAAGAATAAAAAGTCGGTTCATTCCTATTTCTCTTGGTTCCTTAGATAATTGCATTCGAATTTTGTGGTACTGGATCATACCATTTTATATTGAAGGTACCGCACGGAAAGAAAAGTATGTCAAAAATTGAGATTTTTTTTCTATTGAAGCTAGAGAGCGGTGTTTCTACTCTGCACTAGGGCATTCTTTGAGGACCCTGTATACCAAATTTGGAGGATCAACGACAAAGTTGATTTTTAGGTCTGAAAAAGAAACAAGGTTAACCCCTTTGAACTTTTTTCAATATTTTTGACGTCTCGGAATGTGCTGAAAATCTGTATACAGGATGTTCTCGGTCCTCCAAACAAGAATAAAAAGTCGGTTTATTCCTATTTCTCTTGGTTCCCTAGATAATCGCATTCGAATTTTGAGGTAATGGATCGATCCTTTTATATTGAAGGTACCGCATGGAAAGAAAAGTCAGTGTGAAATTGCATTGTTTTTTCTATTGAAGCTAGAGAGTGTTTCTACTACGTACTAGGGCATTCGATCCTTGAGGACCCTGTATACCAAATTTGGAGGATCTACAATAAAGTTGATTTATGGGTCTGAAAATAAAACAAGGTTAACCTTTGAACTTTTTTCAATATTTTTGACGTCTCGGAATGTGCTGAAAATCTGTATACAGGATGTTCTCGGTCCTCCGAACAAGAATAAAAAGTCGGTTCATTCCTATTTCTCTTGGTTCCTTAGATATAATTGCATTCGAATTTTGTGGTACTGGATCAATCCATTTCATATTGAAGGTACCGCATGGGAAGAAAAGTATGTCAAAAATTGAGATTTTTTTTCTATTGAAGCTAGAGAGCGGTGTTTCTACTCTGCACTAGGGCATTCCTTGAGGACCCTGTATACCAAATTTGGAGGATCAACGACAAAGTTGATTTTTGGGCCTTAAAAAGAAACAAGGTTAACCCCTTTGAAGTTTTTTCAATATTTTTGACGTCTCGGAATGTGCTGAAAATCTGTATACAGGATGTTCTCGGTCCTCCGAACAAGAATAAAGAGTCGGTTCATTCCTATTTCTCTTGGTTCCTTAGATAATTGCATTCGAATTTTGTGGTACTGGATCATACCATTTTATATTGAAGGTACCGCATGGAAAGAAAAGTATGTCAAAAATTGAGATTTTTTTTCTATTGAAGCTAGAAAGCGGTGTTTCTACTCTGCACTAGGGCATTCCTTGAGGACCATGTATACCAAATTTGGAGGATTAACGACAAAGTTGATTTTTGGGTCTGGAAAAGAAACAAGGTTAATTAACCCCTTTGAACTTTTTTCAACATATTTTACGTCTCGGAATGTGCTGAAAATCTGTATACAGGATGTTTTCGGTCCTCCGAACAAGAATAAAAAGTCGGTTCATTCCTATTTCTCTTGGTTCCCTAGATAATCGCATTCGAATTTTGAGGTACTGGATCAATCCTTTTATATTCAAGGTACCGCATGAAAAGAAAAGTATGTCAAAAATTGAGATTTTTTTCTATTGAAGCTAGAGAGCGGTGTTTCTACTCTGCACTAGGGCATTCCTTGAGGACCCTGTATACCAAATTTGGAGGATGAACGACAAAGTTGATTTTTGGGTCTGAAAAAGAAACAAGGTTAATTAACCCCTTTGAACTTTTTTCAACATATTTTACGTCTCGGAATGAGCTGAAAATCTGCATACAGGATGTTCTCGGTCCTCCGAACAAGAATAAAAAGTCTGTTCATTCCTATTTCTCTTGGTTCCTAAGATAATTGCATTCGAATTTTGTGGTACTGGATCATACCATTTTATATTGAAGGTACCGCATGGGAAGAAAAGTATGTCAAAAATTGAGATTTTTTTCTATTGAAGCTAGACAGCGGGGTTTCTACTCTGCACTAGGGCATTCCTTGAGGACCCTGTATACCAAATTTGGAGGATCAACGACAAAGTTGATTTTTGGGTCTGAAAAAGAAACAAGGTTAACCCCTTTGAACTTTTTTCAATATTTTTGACGTCTCGGAATGTGCTGAAAATCTGTATACAGGATGTTTTCGGTCCTCCGAACAAGAATAAAAAGTCGGTTCATTCCTATTTCTCTTGGTTCCCTAGATAATCGCATTCGAATTTTGAGGTACTGGATCAATCCTTTTATATTCAAGGTACCGCATGAAAAGAAAAGTATGTCAAAAATTGAGATTTTTCATTCCTATTTCTCTTGGTTCCTTAGATATAATTGCATTCGAATTTTGTGGTACTGGATCAATCCATTTCATATTGAAGGTACCGCATGGGAAGAAAAGTATGTCAAAAATTGAGATTTTTTTTCTATTGAAGCTAGAGAGCGGTGTTTCTACTCTGCACTAGGGCATTCCTTGAGGACCCTGTATACCAAATTTGGAGGATCAACGACAAAGTTGATTTTTGGGCCTTAAAAAGAAACAAGGTTAACCCCTTTGAAGTTTTTTCAATATTTTTGACGTCTCGGAATGTGCTGAAAATCTGTATACAGGATGTTCTCGGTCCTCCGAACAAGAATAAAGAGTCGGTTCATTCCTATTTCTCTTGGTTCCTTAGATAATTGCATTCGAATTTTGTGGTACTGGATCATACCATTTTATATTGAAGGTACCGCATGGAAAAAAAGTATGTCAAAAATTGAGATTTTTTTTCTATTGAAGCTAGAAAGCGGTGTTTCTACTCTGCACTAGGGCATTCCTTGAGGACCATGTATACCAAATTTGGAGGATTAACGACAAAGTTGATTTTTAAGTCTGGAAAAGAAACAAGGTTAATTAACCCCTTTGAACTTTTTTCAACATATTTTACGTCTCGGAATGTGCTGAAAATCTGTATACAGGATGTTTTCGGTCCTCCGAACAAGAATAAAAAGTCGGTTCATTCCTATTTCTCTTGGTTCCCTAGATAATCGCATTCGAATTTTGAGGTACTGGATCAATCCTTTTATATTCAAGGTACCGCATGAAAAGAAAAGTATGTCAAAAATTGAGATTTTTTTCTATTGAAGCTAGAGAGCGGTGTTTCTACTCTGCACTAGGGCATTCCTTGAGGACCCTGTATACCAAATTTGGAGGATGAACGACAAAGTTGATTTTTGGGTCTGAAAAAGAAACAAGGTTAATTAACCCCTTTGAACTTTTTTCAACATATTTTACGTCTCGGAATGAGCTGAAAATCTGCATACAGGATGTTCTCGGTCCTCCGAACAAGAATAAAAAGTCTGTTCATTCCTATTTCTCTTGGTTCCTAAGATAATTGCATTCGAATTTTGTGGTACTGGATCATACCATTTTATATTGAAGGTACCGCATGGGAAGAAAAGTATGTCAAAAATTGAGATTTTTTTCTATTGAAGCTAGACAGCGGGGTTTCTACTCTGCACTAGGGCATTCCTTGAGGACCCTGTATACCAAATTTGGAGGATCAACGACAAAGTTGATTTTTGGGTCTGAAAAAGAAACAAGGTTAACCCCTTTGAACTTTTTTCAATATTTTTGACGTCTCGGAATGTGCTGAAAATCTGTATACAGGATGTTTTCGGTCCTCCGAACAAGAATAAAAAGTCGGTTCATTCCTATTTCTCTTGGTTCCCTAGATAATCGCATTCGAATTTTGAGGTACTGGATCAATCCTTTTATATTCAAGGTACCGCATGAAAAGAAAAGTATGTCAAAAATTGAGATTTTTTCTATTGAAGCTAGAGAGCGGTGTTTCTACTCTGCACTAGGGCATTCCTTGAGGACCCTGTATACCAAATTTGGAGGATCAACGACAAAGTTGATTTTTGGGTATGAAAAAGAAACAAGGTTAACCCCTTTGAACTTTTTTCAATATTTTTGGCGTCTCGGAATGTGCTGAAAATCTGCATACAGGATGTTCTCGGTCCTCCGAACAAGAATATAAAGTCGGTTCATTCCTATTTCTCTTTTGCTTTCTTAGATAATTGCATTCGAATTCTGTCGTACTGGATCATACCATTTCATATTGAAGGTACCGCATGGAAAGAAAAGTATGTCAAAAATTGAGATTTTTGTCTATTGAAGCTAGACAGCGGTGTTTCTACTCTGCACTAGGGCATTCCTTGAGGACCCTGTATACCAAATTTGGAGGATCAACGACAAAGTTGATTTTTGGGTCTGAAAAAGAAACAAGGTTAACCCCTTTGAACTTTTTTCAATATTTTTGACGTCTCGGAATGTGCTGAAAATCTGCATACAGGATGTTCTCGGTCCTCCGAACAAGAATATAAAGTCGGTTCATTCCTATTTCTCTTTTGCTTTCTTAGATAATTGCATTCGAATTCTGTCGTACTGGATCATACCATTTCATATTGAAGGTACCGCATGGAAAGAAAAGTATGTCAAAAATTGAGATTTTTGTCTATTGAAGCTAGACAGCGGTGTTTCTACTCTGCACTAGGGCATTCCTTGAGGACCCTGTATACCAAATTTGGAGGATCAACGACAAAGTTGATTTTTGGGTCTGAAAAAGAAACAAGGTTAACCCCTTTGAACTTTTTTCAATATTTTTGACGTCTCGGAATGTGCTGAAAATCTGTATACAGGATGTTCTCGGTCCTCCGAACAAGAATAAAAAGTCGGTTCATTCCTATTCCTCTGGGTTCCCTAGATAATCGCATTAGAAATTAGAGGTTCATATTGAAGGTGACCGCATGAAAAAAAAAATGCATAAAATTGCATTTTTTTTTTCTTCTATTGAAGCTGGAGAGCGGTGTTTCTACTGCTCTACTCCGCACTAGGGCATTCCTTGAGGACCCTCTCTCTGTATACAGGATTTTCTCAGTCCTCCGAACAAGAATAAAAAGTCGGTTCATTCCTTTTGGTTCCCTAGATAGAATTTGGAGGCCCTACGACAAAATCGATTTTTGGGTTTGAAAAAAAAAAAAAAACGACGTCCCGTAGACAAGAAATAAAAATTAGGCATTTTTTTTTGTTATATATTTTCTCCTTATGTCTAATACACTTCTCTAATTATTTATATAAAATAGAGCTATAACGGTATTCAAGTAGTTTCTGTAATATTTCACATTGCCAACATCAGTGAACTGGAAATAATGGTAGATATACAAAAAAATGGAGACTGAAGACATCTACTCACATGGAAACAAATCAGCTCTCCCAATACTCATAGGAGAAGAAGAACTTACATGGTTTATTAAAAAAATAATCAAAAATAGATCAACAATCACTCAGTTCTTAGCCGGAGGCCTAAAAACCCCCACAACCACCGCATGATCCCTCTCATACGGTTCCAAAGTGATCTGTTCCTGAGGTTTCAACTTATCAGCTTGTAGCTTCTTCACTTCAGCAGCAAACACAGCCTCTGGCTGCGCCGTCGAATCAATACAAGACGCTTTAATGGAAATCACGAAGTGCCCACCGTTCTTCAAAAAGTACTGGGAATTCAACGCCACGATCCTAGCTTGATCCGGTTGCGCAACATCCGCGAAAACCGTGTCCACCATTCCCACCAACATCCTGTATTTGTGCGGATGTCTGGCGTCCTCTATGATCGGAATGATGTTGGTGCGCTTTTTGGCAACATTGATGAGGTCTCTTCCCGAACGATGGGAGAATTCCACGGCGTAAACTAGTCCTTCGGGGCCTACTACGTCGGACACGTGGGATACTGTCGTGCCCGAGGCTGCCCCGAGATAGAGCACTCTGCTGCCGGGCGGCATGTATATTTGGTCCACGCCGCCCAAAATGGCGGCGGCCAGTTTGCTGCGGAAAGGGTTCCATACGCGGTATTCCACTTTGTTGCCTTCGTCCTGAAACATTGATTAATATCTGTCGTATATCGGAAATACCTAAGTTGAAAAATAATAAATAATGTACGTGTGTCCCGTTTTCGATGCTTTTGCGTGATATCTCAGTTATCTTTGGAGATAGAACCTTTCGGTTTTCACGGTCCTGTGACAATTTTTTGTGAAACTGAAGATGGCTTGATCAGATTTTGCAAGACTGTTACCGTTTATGAGATACAGGGCGATTTTGAAAATTTAAACTTTTTGGACCCTTTTGGACAACTTTTTCAAGTAAACTTTTTCGAAATTCGAACAAATAAGCCTACTTTCAGCGATTAATTTAAAAAAATGTCACTTTTGACATGTAGTGAAAGTCACGTGACCCCGATTGAGTAGGCCATTTTTCATCTTTCTTAAAGCAAAACTTAACGTCCAACTCGAATTCCAAAATAAGTCATTAATAAAAGTTTTTCCCATATGATATGATGCCGACTTTATGAATGACACTGTATACTGAATAATTCGATAATTGAATCAATATGAAAAACACACAAAATTTAATCAACATCAAACCCTGGAAAAAAAACCGAACCAACAAACCCCCAACTCACCTCAACAGAAATCCTCTTCTCCCCATACACCTCCGACCCGGGCACCAAATTCAGCGTCACCAGCGCATCCTCCTTCCCCCTCGCAATAAACACCCCCTCGTGCCTATGCGGCTCGATCACCACCGCCTTGCCCCCTTTGAACCCCCCGCCTCCGCCCCTGCCTCTGCCGCCCCCGCGGCCCCCCCGCCCCCGGTCGCCGCCCCCCCGGAACCCCCTGCCACCCCCGCGGCCTCCGAATCCACCCCGATCGCCGCCCCCACGGCCTCCGCGGCCCCCACGGCCTCCGAAGCCACCTCTGTCGCCGCCCCCGCGGCCTCCGAAGCCTCCACGGCCCCCGCCGCCGCCTCTACCGCCGGGAGAGAAGCCTGGGGAATAAAGGCATACACATGTATCATGAATTACTACACCTTTTTCAATTGTAATTCAGAAAGTATAAGTTGTAATTCAGATTAGTCAAATGCAATTCAGATTAGTCAAATGTAATTCAGATTAGTCAAATGTAATTCAGATTAGTCAAATGTAATTCAGATTAGTCAAATGTAATTCAGATTAGTCAAATGTAATTCAGATTAGTCAAATGTAATTCAGATTAGTCAAATGTAATTCAGATTAGTCAAATGTAATTCAGATTAGTCAAATGTAATTCAGATTAGTCAAATGTAATTCAGATTAGTCAAATGTAATTCAGATTAGTCAAATGTAATTCAGAATAGTCAAATGTAATTCAGATTAGTCAAATGTAATTCAAATTAGTCAAATGTAATTCAGATTAGTCAAATGTAATTCAGATTAGTCAAATGTAATTCAGATTAGTCAAATGTAATTCAGAAAGTGTAACTTGTGATTCAGAATAGTGGAATGTAAGTATCACTTATGATTCCATAGTTCTTGAATTACAAGTGATGCTTTCTGAATTACAATTGAAAAAGGTGTAGCTTCGTACGTCTGTTGTACCCATTTAATAGTTATTTTCCGTGGACCTCGTATTAACGAGTTGACCCCCTAATAATGATCAATTTGTCTATTAATGCACGATTGTTTTATAGGCAACCAAACATACACCGCGTGCATTCATTGTTTATGCTATAACTTACGGAATCTGCATTTAAATCGAAAATATGGATTCCATCGAAGATTTTCCGAGAGAGAGAGAGAGTTCGACTTTCCTAGTTTCTGACAAGATTTTGATCCCTGTTTTCTAACAAAAGGAATTCATTTCCTATGTTGATCATTTCGACAAATGTCAAATGTCACTAATGTCAACAAGGCTACTGGGTGATTCTTAGCAGTTTCCGGATGAATGATGATCCATATTTTCGATTTAAATGCAGATTCCGTGAGTTATAGCATAAACAATGAATGCACGTGGTGTATGTTTAGCTCGAAATCTAGTTCATAGTTCATTATTTCATTTCATTTTCAGTGATCTATCAGTGTCATATTATAGTTTTTATTGAGTGACAAATGCAATGACAAATGGTGACAAGACGAATTACCCAATGAGAATGTCCGTCCGAAGTGTATGACGCGGTGTGACGCACCTTGTATTCGTCCAATGAAATGCAATCAATATTTCGCGTGCATTCGAGCTATCGTTTGAATTTAGGTTCGATTTAATAATTTTTTCTGGGTCAACCGCAGTCGTAAGAAAATTGAAAAAATGCTGAATCCACCCATTATGTGTTCTAAATCGTGAAAAATAATTCAAAAAATCATGGTGAAATTCCCTATTGGCTAGAAATTTTACCGCCAGTAAAAACTTGTGTCCTTGAATTAGGGAGCAAACGCTTTCTTTCTTCTGTGCTTCTGTGCTATGCGCGTATCAGAACACAGTACATATTTCTTTTTATTCTTTTGAATTCTTTGAAATGACCTATAGCTATACAGGGTGTATCATAAGTACTTTTGAAATATTCAAATAACAATTATAAGAAAAAAGTATACAACATGCTTCACTTATGAGATTCAGGGTGTTCAAATACAGAAAACAAATAATTTTTCGACAAAAATTTCATAGGAAAAACGTTTATTTTGACGAGGGTAAAAGTGCACTTATCATGCGATGTTTTTCCTCGTTTTCTATTTCCGAAAAATTTGATTGGTACTCACTTATTTTCGTCTGAAAAACACGAATTTCACAATGAAAATGTGAACAAACCACTATTTATCGAGATATTTTATGAAAAAGTGCGAAATTTCACCTCCTTTTGCAACCTATCAAGGATATTCATTTACAACTACTTCGTTTTCCATCATTGGATCACTTTATATACTCATGTTGTACTTCAATAACACATTGTATTTCCTAAAATCAACAAGAAGTATGGTTAATTTGGAACTTTTTCATAAAGGCGAGAGTTTGTTTTCTCGTATTTGTATTTTGAGTTCTGTGATTTGTATTTTGTATTTAGTATTTAAATTTGATAATTGAATGGCCGTCAGCTGGTGTGATTGTTTACCCCACTAAAATATCCAAATAAAGCATTCTTCTTGTTGATTTTAAAAAATAAAATGTGTTATTGAAGTTACAACGTGAATATATAAAGTGTCCAATGATCTAAAACGACAAATAGTTGTAAATGGATATCCAAGATAGGTGGCAAAACATGAAATTTCGCATTTTTTCGTAAAATACCTCAATAGATAGTGGTTTGTTTTAAGAAATCATGATTTTTCACGTCATAAAACCCCGGGTGCCAAATTTCGTGCAAATAACTTTTTTTTGTAACAGTTTTTTCTAAAATTCGAACGGAAAAATTCAATTTCAACACCCTGTATCTCCGAAACAAAGAATTTCCGACCAGTAGATGTTATGTGAAAAAGATAAGTATGGAAATATACTTTTTTTATGTTTTGAAAATTGAAATAGGAGTATTTGTGACTGGTCCGCATAGATTGCTATCAAGATAAAAAAAAATGTCCAATCCGTTTTCTATAATTTTGAAGGATTTGTGATCGCAAATAGGAAATTGTGATTGATAATTTTTTTTTGCTGGACAAAGTAGATAATTTTGAGTAGTATATTATGAGCAAAAAAATACCAAATCGCCCTAGGAAGAAGAAAGTCAAGATGAAACTAAAGGGGTGGGTTGGATTGTAACACACTGTATAAGTATCTGCGAGGGTATCTGGTATCTCGATCTATTGAGAGAAAATGCGAATTCCCAATGTATTTCCTTATATGTATCCATTATTTTTCATGTTCATAATAAATATATCTGAGAATATTCCGTTTCAAAGCATTCATACTTCATACATAATCAAGGGGTTCAAACCGGGTTTTCTCAATTAAGATTTTTTTTCCACGGCCTCTATGTTGAACATCAATTCATCGTACAACTGCCACAAAACTATTTTTATTATTTACTATTTACATGCACTCATGATTTAGAAGTAATGCAGCAGAAATCGGTTCATCTCGAAAATGGTTTACGCCATGGAAACTGAACAGCACTACCATTTCCATGTAGAAATGTTGAAATTTCCATATTTCCTGGTCAAATTGTCAAAAATAGTAAATACAAAAAAGATTGAGGAAAAAGTGTTCCTAGCCCCTTGTATTTCTGACGCGCCTAATCAAAATTTGAGAAACTTTTTGGCACATTTGAATTAGGCGTAAAAAGTTAGGGAACCTGTACAATGTTCGGTAATTTAATCACAATTTCGAAAATATTCACGGAAATTCATCTTGGGCTCTCTTTAAGATAGCTCTAAAACCCCCAAATGGCCATTTCTGGCCCCATATTTTCGTTCCTAGGATCTGCAGTTGAAATTAGAATCTGCAGTTGAAATATTTTTATGACATTGCGGACACCCTGTAAAGTGGTTTTCGAGGTTTCCAAGGAACTGATTACTTTTTGGATTTAAAAAATGAATTACTTGGCAGTTGTATCTCAATTTTTTGATGTTGGGTTTCCAAGATCATAAACAACCATTTTGTGAGAAAGCTCGAAGAAAAAAAATACCAAAAAAAAAAATTAAACATAGGTAGGTAATAATAAATGTTAGCCCAACTTTCACAATATTATTAGTGGTATCATTGGAATGTATTAATTTAATGTATTTCAATGCATAGTAATTGATTTGAATGAATAATATGACAAGTTGAAATTGGAGTCACTGGATATTGGATGGTATTGAAATAATATGCTAGTTGCCTTTACGAACAAGGGCGAGACGAGGGCTATTAGTATGAGGAATTTTGATGTACAAGTGATGGGAATTAATAATAAATTGGGGCAAATGAACTAAAATAAATGAGATTTGGTGTACAAAATCCACAGTGGTAAAATGCCCCTCGTTTACGAATGAAAGTGGTAGGTACTTGAAACCAGTTATTACTTAAATGCAATAGTCCCGTTAGAACCCTCGGTTTACTATTTACTTACTAAACATATAAATATTTAAATTAATTTTACCTGGTCTACCCATCACAACAGAACTTTGCACTAATTCAGAACGATGTTTCTATTTATGATAAACTGTTTACAACCACGTGCATTCTTCAAAGAAGATCATACATTCGAAATCTTAACCTCAATGTTTGAACAAGGAACAACCTCAAAAGTTTTCTTAATCTTTGTTTGTAATGAACCTAGAACCTAGCTACTTCAGATTTTTCGGTAGCCAGAAAAGAACGTAACAACTATGTACAAACGATCTACTACTACTGTACAAGTACAGTGTTGCCGTTTCGGAATTTCAATCTGTACTAGAAGTTATTATGAAATTGTACTAAATTCAAGTATATTGTACTAAATTGAGAAAATAGCACTTCAAAATTCATGATTCAAAAATTTTATGAAACACTTTTCAAATTTCAAATAATAATATACAGCACATTAAAACACCTCTGGAAAACGTAGGTCATGAAACAATAAAAACTAATAAAAGCCGAAAATAAGAGATGCAAAGGAACAGATCAGATTACAGATCGAGATCAAATACTATCATATACATATACTATCAATTCATCAATAACAGCTCGTTGTTTCTCCGTTGAATTGGAAATTATGGACTTTTCATCAATGAGGGGTTCATTAGGCTGTTCACTTAGGATTCCAAATAATTGTTTCTATCCGGTTCTTGCTTTTGTAATAGATTAGTGTTCATTTTATTGACATACTAAATGTGTATAAAATGTACTAGAAAAGTAAAATAGTACCACAAAAGGAGTATTGAGTTCATTGCAAAAGGATGGTGCCAGTTAGAGTCAATAATACCATTCATTGATTCTAGCGCCAGTATCGTAGAGTTCGATGCAGTATGATGGCTGCTTCAATTTTTTCGGAAATGATCAGAAAATACCTTGTATTGACCTAGTCTCTAGGCTATAGCCTTCTTAAAGTCGTTATTTGTTTTTTGTAATCCCATATACTTTTTGATTTATGAACATTGAAAAGTGTAAACAGTCTCCGTCTGTTAAGATTGTTTAACGGTCGGCAGCCGTTAACTGTTCCATAACAACACCATATTGGGATTTTTCTGTAGAATAACTGAGTTTGTGGATTGAAATTCTCTCAATCAGAATGTAAAAAATCTTTCATTCATGAATGACACACGGCCGATACGCAAATAACGGATTCGGTTGTTATAATCCTCGGCTGATCACTTCATTAGTTTTTGTCATAGAAATCATATTATATATTATATTCGCGTGATATAATATGATTTCTATGGTATTTCTTCCAAACATCGTCGTTCTTCTTTCGAATAAATGCTAGTATGAAGCTTTATTACCTTATTCCAATACAAAACTGGTAGTTTGTGAAAACATATTGTTTTGAACTATTCTTGTTCGACATGGAAAGTGTTTTGTTTGATTGAATATCAACTATATTTACCACGATTTTGTGGTAATAATATCAATTTCATGAGCATCAAAATGAAAAATAATGAAGAAAATCACACAATATTTTATTTATTAATTCGGTCATGAATGCCTATATCATTCTGAGGAAGCAATAGACTGACGCACTTTCACATCTGGTTTCTATTGGGGGGGCGTATCCCATACTCTGCTCCCCAGAGAACGTCCATTCCACCATCCTAGGCCACAGGCGCGTCTGTTATTGTTAGTCTGGCGCGCATTCTGTAAATAATTCTAATTTTACCCCCCCGAACGAAATCCACAAGTGGCACTTAAAACTAAAAATAGTGAAAAAATGGAAGCGTCGGATCCTATCTAGCGACGCCCAGTGCTCGGTGATGTGGCGCTGCGAAAATGACGTTGATGGCCATCGTCGCGATGTCTTTGGCATGGACGGCGGTTTCCTGCGACGAGACCGGCTTCCTGGACCTGCTGACAGCCGCCGACTGCAAGAACACCATGCCGTGCGGGATTCCGGCGCCCCGAGCCATGCTGCTGACCGACGTGGTCGGCCTGACCAACACTACCAAGACGTTCCCGCACATGGTGGTTTTCCACAGGTAAGGGAACACAGTAAACACAAACATCCCTGGGATGTTACATTCATGTCTCGCCAGGTAACAATGCACTGAGGAAAATTGTGCAATTACAGTTTTTGCCATTACAAGAAATCATATTACCGTGATACATTTTCGAATAGAAGCAGCACCTTGAAATCCTAGCAATAACGACTTTGTTGGAAGTGAATTTCCTGCCACATCAGGAAGGTATACTGCTATCGCTATCAGGCAGCCACTCTGGGACAGCATGATTTTTTTTTATGATTGTCTAGCTGAACTACTACTAGTGAGTTACATATGCTTGTGACTGCGAGGTTTATCGCATAGAACTGCACTCACTACCAATAATACAACTGTCAGTCTACCACAAAAATGATATTTAATGAACCTACGTGGGGTTATTTAGCGCCTACTTATGGTTATTCGGTATTTTGCTGATTTGTCCTCCTCTATGTGAGCATTTGTGAGTGTGTATATATAGGTTATTTTCAAAATCGCATATGAAACGACGCATACTCTGTGACTCGCCATGATTCCCATGGAATTCCTCACATACTTTTCCAAAACAAATAATTATCAGAGCCCTCCAAGAAATGACGTTGACTTTTGGGACACACTGTATACACCCCTGATACATAGCTTTTTCAGTCACAATATCTAATTGAGTAGATAGGTTATTGTTTATACTCTGGTGGAATGTTATTATAGACTCTAACAATTTCCAATAAAAACATTCATAAATTGAGATAAATCATCGCAGTTAATTGATTTTATTCTGGCGACCGTCCAAGAATTTTAACACTCAAAGTTTCCAATTTGGAGGAGAGGATACTGATAAATGGAAAGACAGTGACAGGCAATAAAATAATGCTGCTGGTAAGGACTAATTCATAATGCAAATATTTATGAAGGTGGAATCTTATTGTGACACACCATATATTATACGTGTTTTTCCATCGTGGTTCCAAAAGCCCGAACGACGATGAACTGATTCATTCAAACAATAAAGAATAATATTCTCATAAAATGTGAAACTTTGAAGAAAAAAACAGTAAATAGAAGGTTTTCACGATGTTTAATTCTTTGCAACTTGGAGCGAACTATCTGCCGCACTGGCCGGTCATGAAATTGAAAATTAATTCAGGTATATTTTTAGGTGTGATGGTAGTGGTTGCTGTGGCGAATTCAACCAAAGTTGTGGAGTAGAACTATCAGAAAAGATCAGAATCAGGTACTCGATCGTTGGAAAGACGAAATACTCCTTTCATCACGTCGATAATCACATAAGGTGTTCTTGTAAATAACGTCTCTAACTTAGATTTAGATAGGGCACATAGCTTTGTCGGACCAAAGGAGAAAAATCTGGGAAGATTTATATTGTCTTTCTTGAAAAGTGGGGATAATTTTAAGAAACGAGACACACAAAAGTGGATTTTGAAGGACTTGCAGGATGCATGACGAATAAGCTAAAAACTATATAAGATAAGATATTCTATATTTATTTATGAAATTGCGGGTATTTTGTATATACAATGATGAAAACCTATACATTATTACTTTTCTGTGATACAATTAGGATACAATATAGTTTTATTCAATAAGTTGGTATTTACATAATATACTATGTGAACATTGTAAACTACGATATGAGATAATTAAACAAATGTATTGTTTTTTATGCATTTGATACGTTTTTGGCATGAATCAATAATTCTTCGAATAAATATTCCAAAATTTTCTCGTTATTATTACTGCATCTTGTATTCACAAAACTCAAGTTATAATCATACAATCAGATACTTAGTCATTTCCTTTTCACGACTGACGTCAACTTAAGCATTTAAACAGTGTTTTCTTTCGAAAAATAAGGTTATGTTCATGTTGTTACTGTTGTTAGGTTAAGTTTTTCTCTTTGAAGCTTGTTGCTTGTCAAAAGCTCAGAAGAATCAAGGAGTGTGGAAGAATGGATTTTGGTGACTTGAAAGATGATCTTTCTATTCAACAGAAACTCACAAACTTCAACAACAGTATAGGAAAGATAGACCAAATGTTGGAAACTCTTCTGAAATCGGACATTTACGAAAAATTGAGCCTCAAGCAGAAAGTAGATTATGATTTATTTCTGGCATACAATTTGAATACTTTATATTGGCTATATTTGCGGAGCAAAAATGAGGACCCCAACAAGAATGATGTCAAAAACCAATTGAATAGGATTAAAGAATATATGGTCAAGGCGAAACAGGTAGATTATACAACTCCAAACAAGAATAATTTCCAATTTTTTATATTTTTGATTATTGTAGGCCCATGAACGACAAACAATAAGACCAAAGATTGATCAACAAGCAGCTGAGAGATTTGTGAAACATGGTGTTGGGTTCAGAAAGGAGTCAAACAACCAACCACCTCCAAACAAAAAAATCAAATTTTCAGATTGATAAAACCACATTTCATGGTGTGATTTTCATGTGAAATTAGATATCTTCAGAGTTTCAGATACCAATGAGATAGGAAAAAACACAAAGTTGAAAAAAGTCTAGCATCCTTTGGGTCATTGTAGAACTGATATACCTTGTCTAATTGTTTTTGAATGGATTTATACAACACATAAACGAAATGTGTTCATTATAAGAATTTTCTATATTGTGTGTTTTTTTTATTGTATATTTTAATCTTTGGTGTAAATTATTGGAAATCTATGAGGGCACTATAGGTTTCACTTTGTTTTATATTGTAAGTAGTTTCCTGGCCATTCTCACAAGATATTCAAACCACACATTTTACTCACAGAGTAATTTTATTTTGACCAATTTTCCAGATCTATCTTGAGACCTTGAAACACTGAAATTTGAAAACAGCATAATTTTCTCTGATATGTCCATATTTTTCCCCTAAATCACACAAAATATACAGTGGGTTTTTTTAAATGACTAATAACATAACATTTGCAACATGTGCTGAAGTTATATTCCTCATATTATTATTATGTGAAAGGCATTAAATAAAAATAATAAATTACCAGAGATAGAAATCTGTAAAAACTAATTATTGATCTGTGGCGCTTAGTGGCGCTGTACTATCTATCACATATGTCAAAGTCAAAACAATATGTCTGTCAGTGGGGTCAGTGGTTTTGAGGTTGAGGAATTGATGATATGTCGTGTCATGTACAGATGATAATATGATATTTATTTACTGTGGTACTTAGATAGCGATAATTTTATTGTACAATGAATGGATGTGATAAAATGTGATTGCAAGGTAACTAGATAATCTCTTTATCTGATGATTAGCAATACATCAAAAGGAATTCCCAGAATATACCGTTAGTTTTCAGCTAGCTTTAGAACAAGCCAAGTCATGTCTGGTGGTGCAAACAGAAAAAAAGCCAGCCGTTCACAGGGCTGGGAAGAAGCCGGCTCAGAATTTTATCAGGAAAGTTACCCAATCGATGCCGACATCGAAGTCCTACAGAAAGATCCCAAACACTTGGCCACACTATTGCCCAGCAAACAGAATAGGACAGGTACTATTCAACTCCAAATCTCATCTTCCCTTCATGAATTTTAATACTGGGTGATTTTGGGTGCTTTGTTTCTATTTAGCTGCAGCAACTATTCGACATAGGACAAATGACACCAGAACAAATAACAGAACAGTACGTAGACGTACAGCCACGCACTCCAGAAGGGATTCTACGGTTCAGCGTAGGGCTTCTGCTGCTGGTGAGGTGCAGGTGTCTATGCTACCTGATCTGTCAGAAATGAGGACCAATGAGCAGACTTCTTGGGAGGAAATCATGCAGATCAAGACACTGCCATTGCCCATGAGGGAAAAGAAGGAAATGAAAGCCAAAATATTGGTATGAATTTATGCAGTAGTTTCAAGTACCTATCTTTTTTATAGTAAAATTATTTCCTGACTGTTTCAATATTCCCAGAGTCAAAATTCATGTTTCTTGATCCTGTTGATATACCTATATATGCAAATACACAGATACTTATTCAAATTTCAATATCAGCTATTCAATTTCATATTCCAACATTTCCAACTCAGAAAAATTATGTTGAATAAAATCTATTTCAAATCGAAAATACACAGCATTGTAGTTTTGTTTTCAAATGCATTTGCAAATAAACAAATTCCTATTTGAACTCTGATGATAACTATCTGGATCAAATAACATTTGAAAATGGGAAATGAAAGATTAAACATCTTTGTTTGAATTTTGATTCTTATCTATATCTTGATTAGCTTGTAGAGGAAATAGAAAACAATACTACTTTCATTGAATTGCAAATATCTTATCATGAAGTGTATTCAAGATAATCTGGGATATTGTATACAAGATATGAGGTTAAAAACTTATAATTTGCTGATATATTATTTTCCACATATTAGAAATTTAGAATTCAAATTAACATAATAACGTCCAGGCAAAAGTACCTATGGGTTGAAACATATACTTTGAAAAGCATAAATTCATTTAATCTAATATCCGTCTCTATTGGAAATTCAGGTCACCTTTTTGAATTTGAATAACTAACCCTGCATCAATATATATATGTATGTAATGTATATGTATATTTCAATTTTTCAAGTGGATTGTTCAATAACAATATTTCAGCTGTTTCATAATTGATTAATGATTTATTCGATTTCTGCAACAGGATGATGGTAACTACTAAAAAAATAACTGAAATGGAAATATGTCCAATAAAATATGGAGTATTCCGAATTTCCGTGTATCTTATGTAATTCGCAATTTTTTCAATTTATATGGCAAATATATTGAACGCCTTAAAAAACTGCAACATTTTTGGCACTTACAATATATGAAAGTATAACCTCAAAACAATCAAATTACTCAAAAATGGGAAAAGGCATCTGAAGTCTTCAAAATCAAGTGACTTGAACTGCTTTCATTTCATCAAAAATAGCATTTCATCACTGGATGACTCACTGGAGTGTATATAATTTTTGATATATACAGTTCGAAATTATTATTTCATTCAACAAAATCTGTCTCGAGAAATTCGATGATTCATAAAGATGATTCCTAATATATCTGGTTTTTAAGATGCCAGGTAATGTGTTATTTTCGGTATATTATCAATGAATCAGGACGTTTATTATTGGTATGTATTCATAGTATTTGATACAGTTATTCATTATCTAAAATTATCACAAATATATATTTTTTTCAATAATAAAAATAATCACCTCTCAGAACCGCTAGCTCTTCAAGTTTTATTACCACTTTTTGAAAAATAATGACTACTGCTGGATGATTGTAGTAGTTTCCGGATAAATGATGAATTCGCGGGCCAAGTTTTCTTCATTGCAGGAAAAATGAGAAATATATAGCGAACGGAAAAAAATTGTAACCAACTCGTATATTGAAAAGCGATCAATGATCTCGAACATTAACACGCTCGCTTTGCTCGCACGTTGAAATATATCAATCATTAATCGCCCTCATTAATACACTAGTTGGTTGAATAAGTATTTTCCCGTTTCTTTTTCAGAATGAACCCAACCTGCGTTTGCAGGGCTACGAGCAGTTCAACTGGAAGCGCCGGAAAATGTGGGGCGTCCTGGAATCCCGTCTACGGGAATCCTTCAACGAAATGGAGCTGTGGAAGGGGGCCCTCAAGCATATCGAAGGCAACTTCGGCACCGGCGTCGTCGCGTTCTTCCTCTTCCTCAAGTGGCTCTTCCTCCTAAACACGGTTATATTCTTCTTCTTATTTTTGTTCATCACCTTGCCCACCATCTTGCTCGACTACGAACGCTTGGTCAACTGTCCCTACAACGCCACTTGTTGCGCCGAAGGCTATTTCAACGAAACCCTTTCGGAAAACAATGTTTTCCTGGATTTGATCCAAGGCACCGGGATTCTCGAGAGAACCATCTTGTTTTACGGGTTTTACAGTAACAAGACGCTTTCCTACAGCTTAGGGCTCTTGCAAATGTACTACAACCTGCCATTGGCTTATCTCCTCATAATCATCTTATGTTTCGCAATTTCCTTGGTAGCTATCATCAGATCAGCTGCGAAAGGTTTCAGGGAAAGACTGATTGAAGGAGAGGGGCAGTTTTACCAGTACTGCAACCTCGTTTTCGGAGGTTGGGACTTCTGCATAGACAACGAAAAAGCCGCCAGGATCAAGCACAAGGCCCTCTACAGCGAGATCAGAGCCAACCTGGAGACAGAGAAGATAAAAGAAGAGAAGCAGAGTCGTACGACCCAAGAAAAATGCAGGATCGTCTTCTGCAGGTTCATCGTCAACACCGTAGTACTGGCCATCCTCGCCGGGTGCGCCTGTCTGATATACCTGGTGTTCGATTTCTCCACCAACAAACTTGCCGAATCGACCTCGCGAACCCAAACCAAAGAGCTTTTCTTCGAATTCCTACCGTCTATGACCATAGTAAGTCTGAACATCGTCGTCCCTTTCACATTCACGTTCTTGATAAGCTTCGAAAAGTACACGCCGATGACCGTAATAAAATTGTCGCTGATACGCATGGTATTCCTCAAACTGTCCTCGCTCATCGTCTTTTACATGTCCCTTTGGCGTAAGATAACCTGCAACAAAGTAGACGAGTCCCAGTGCGTCGCTTGCGACGAAATCCCAGTTTGCTGGGAAACCTTCGTCGGGCAACAAATTTTCAAGCTGCTGCTCACGGATTTCGGTACGCAAATTGTGATAACGTTCGTGATAAATTTCGCCAGATCTCAGCTAGCCAGGCATTTCGACAACAAGATCATCAAGTTCCTTGGCGAGCAAACTTTCGACTTGCCTAAACACGCCCTAGACATAGTCTACATGCAGAATTTGTGCTGGTACGGCATATTCTACATGCCTATGTTGTCTTTCATGGCGGCCGTGATCTTCCTCTTGATGTTCTACGTCAAAAAGTTCGCTTGTTTAGTCAACTGCAAGCCTAGCAGCGTAATTTACAGGGCATCGAGATCGAACTCTATGTTCATGCTCGTTTTACTCGTTGCATACGCCTTCGCCATAATACCAATCGCGTTCTTTTTCGCTGAGCTGACCCCTTCCAAGTCCTGTGGGCCCTTTAGAGACAAGGGTTCCGTTTGGGGGCTGATCGTGGATCTGTTCAAGCGCACTCCCGAATGGCTGCAGAGCGTCATCTTCTTCTTGAGCACTGCTGGATTCGCGGTACCTTGCATCATAGTGCTGCTTCTTTTTCTCTACTATTACACCGCTGTCAATTCGGCAAACAAGCATCTGGTGGAGGTGCTGAAGAACCAGCTGGTGCTCGAAGGGCACGACAAGCAGTTTTTGCTGGACAGGTTGAGTTTGTTCATCAAGCAGGATAACCAGAAGAGGGCGAGGGCCGAGCAGAACGGTGGGAGAGGAGATGCTAACACGTGAATGACTTCCAACTGGTAATTCTCTTCTTCTTCTCTGCACAGGTGGGCGGGTGCGTAGATCCTTGCACTCAGGCCTCTTCAGTCGGGCCCATTGGTCTGTGAATCAGCTGGGCATGCCAATTTCTTTAACGAAATACAGCAGCTTCCTCAGCTGAGTCACTTTCACATCATTTGAGTGCAGTACAATGCTCCCAATTGAGGGCTTAGGTCTTCCACCCTTACGACTGCAGGGGGATTCTGTTTCACGATCGTCGATTGTCGTACGATACGATGATGAACTCGTAGTCGAATTCATTTCCTATTCTATTTCTCGATCAAGTCGCGATCGAATTCGACTTCGGAAATCGTCGGTTTGGGATGAGATTTTGATCCAATGAAACGAGCACTGAGGCCATAGCACCAAAGCCATCACAAATTTGAGGGTATTGAATTTCAATTAATTTTCAATTCCTATTTAGATTGAACAAAAGGTTGATTCGTCTTCTGATACAATCATTGAGACCCCACTTATTAGTGGATAGGTCACGGTCAAAGTAAGGGAATAGGTCAGGAATCGGTATACAGAATCTCAAATATACTGTGCACTGAGGTTTTATGCAACTATATCATAGCAAAGATGCTACCTCACGCCATTTCTAAGGAGTTCACTCGTCAAACCCCAATGAATTTACTTGGCTTAGCCTGATTAACATTTTTTTATTGGTTTCACGATCATTATACACTCAAAATCATCCTATGGCCGTGACATATGTTCTGTGCTGTTCTAAAAATTTTATCAACATTTCCCAGCGGACATCTCTGAGTTTGAACGACATCGAAAATTAATTATACATTATATTTATGAAGTAATAATTTGATTACACACTTTCAAAGCTGTGGTTTCACATAAACAAGATGATCTAACCTCAAATTGGGATGAAGATGAAAAGAAACATTCGATGATAGATAAGGATAGATTGACAAAACGCATCCACTCGACTCCTCTTGAGCTATCGAGAAATCGAGTCGAGTTTACACGATTCATTCGAGAAACAGAATACCAAATATCGAATAAAGATGGCCGATTAGACTAGATTCGTGAAATAGACTCACCCTTACGACTGGTTGTAAAGGGTAATACGGCTGGTTCCGCGGTACTTCGGTTGCTTCTTCTTCTTCTCTACTATTACTGTCAATTCAGTCAATAGACTGGTGAAGAGAATACGCAGGAGAATGATCAAAGTTAGAGCGGAACAAAAACAAACGGGTTGGGAAGAGGAATGGGAATTATGAATAATTTATTGTATATGGGAATGCGTGATCTAAGGAATATAAGAATTCATCCATATCGCTGATAGGTATAGTACATTTTCTATTAGGTTTTTATCTTGGTGGATAACATGACTTATTTTGGCAACATTTTAGGAACTCAAAATGCGAACATTGGATTATCAAGTGTTATCCGACTACAAAACCAAATCTATTCATTTGAACAACCACTGTGTTATATACAGGGTGTCTCTCAGAGAATAGCTGAGGTCGGTCCTTTCTGAAAATATTCTTGAAGGTGAACATCACAATGCAATTTCCAGTTGATAACTTCTCAGATTTCAACGGTAGATTAAAAAAAATCAAGTCAAACCATGGTGATCAATTTTTTTTACCAACCAAGGGAACTCTTGTTTGATATTATTGATTTTCTGGATGAATATCATCAAATGGACCGACCTTTTATTATTTATTTAAACTCTCACCTATCATGCTCAATTCTGCTTTTGAAGAGACCCGACATTTAAGTTTTTTCTATCCAAAAAAGTAATGCATTTTGTAAAGATCCAAATATACAATTAAATCAGTGTATTGTCATTCAACAATTACATAAATAGAAAATTGATTTTCAAAGATGATCATCAGATATATACCTAAATAATATTAATTAATACTCAATGCATTTCATTCAACTCAAGAATGTAAACAGATCTCAGAACATTGTAAAATACCTAATCAATAATAGCTTATAGATACATTCATATGTTAATTCCTCAAATTATTTTTGCTGTAAGTATTATCAATTAACTGCTCTACTAAAAATATGTAAATATAATTGATGTCTTATGTGTCATCATAGGTTTAGTTACCCTGGTGCTTATAAAAAAATAGTCTTGATTATTCAAATTGCTCACAAATTTACATGACATTTTTTTAACATTTTAATATGAACATTCATTTAAATATTGAGTACAAGTTGGAACATACCTGCCAAATATACCTAACCTTATGAAATAATGTCCATTTGTTTGAAGACATTGAATCATATAAATAAATATATAGCATGCATCAGCATTACTTGATCATACAATATGTGAATGGTTTAAATTACACAATTTTGATGTTATGTTAAATTATCTTGAGAACAAAAATTATACTCTGTATTCTCTTCAATACCTGTGATGTGATTTAAAACAGGATAATTTTTTTTAGCTAATTTGAAACAGAGAATAATTTTTTGTACTTAGTACTTATATGTTGTAGGAGTTGCCTCAAGGATACCTATATATTTATATTGATATTCTTTTGTTGTGTCAAAAGTATTATTTTATTTTCTAGTCATAAGTGATTATTTATTTATACTCCTATAATAAAGAACTGTGAAATTATGAACATTTGAGCATTTAATTTTGATTGGGAGCCAACATACCATGCATAGTGGCAAATATATATTTTCAAAGTAAAGGGATAGAGCTTCACAACTCACAAGACCTTATATTAGAGATTCACAACCAATATGAAGACATTTAGTATAGGTTATATTTTTCTTCAAAAAAGATCATACTTATTTAAAAAAGTACTATGGACCTGGACAAGCCAGCCTAAATTATGTTAAATAATTAATTCAATTACCTACTAATTCTCCATCAGAATTCGTCCCAATTATTGTATATTATACTAAATTATTCATTTTTCCATTCTCAATTTTATCTCCCTCAACAGTTTCAACAGTACTGTGTAGCTAAAACAGAAAAACTTGCTGATGTTGCTGAACCAAGCATTACAACTTCTACTCACAGCTTCAGCCACATCTATCCATTGCAATGCTTGAATTATGGCATCGTTTTTGCTGGGCTTCCTATCCCAATTCCAGGAAAAGATGTCTGAAAACTGGTTGACTACATAAAATTTTCTTTCATCACTCTCTGTCTCAGGCTTGACATTCTCATTCAAAACAATTACTTTGTATCCTTCCGGTAAATTAACTTTTTGGCCTTCAAGAGGATACCCTCTGAAAGAAGCAGTCAGACCTGAATAATAAATATTGAAAATATAACTAGCACAGACGGCTGTGTAACTAGACCTTTTCCAGATGTATTTCAGAAAGCGTCAATTCAATTTCAGAAAGCATCAATTGTATTTCAGAATAGTCAATTGTATTTCAGAAAGCGTCAATTGTATTTCAGAATAGTCAATTTAATTTCAGAAAGCGTCAATTGTATTTCAGAATAGTCAATTCAATTTCAGAAAGCATCAATTGTATTTCAGAATAGTCAATTTAATTTCAGAAAAGGTCAATTGTATTTCAGAATAGTCACTTGTTTTTCAGAAAGCGTCAATTGTATTTCAGAAAATATCATTTTAATTTCAGAAAGCGTCAATTGAATTTCAGAAAGCGTCAATTGAATTTCAGAATGCATCAAGATCGATTAGTTAGTAGAAAGTGCACTCCATGTAAGAATGCATAGGATGTTCTGTGCTTCCTGCACCCCAAATTTTTTTCATGTACCTTTTAGGTACCTATATACTATTTATTGATGAACAGATCACAGAATATCAGGTATAGAGGGGACAATCAGAGATAAACTTCTTTCTATTGCTATTATAAAAAAGTTCTGATTTTTACATGTTTGTCCAATCGGAAGTGACCGGCTGTTTGAATGATACTGTAGAATAGGCTCCTTAATAACATTTACAAAATCAAGCTCTGTTGCTATGTCGTAAATGTCATAATATTTTCACGACTTATGAAGTTGCCTGGCAGGAGAACACTCCGTGGAAAGTGTCTGGCAATTGTATATTCTCTATCATGATAGAATCCGATTGAGCATAAAAAGATCAGCTTGTGTTGAAATGATGTTTATGCCAGTTTTTTTTTGTACTTTCAACACCCGGTATCTCTTGAATGCTCATCCAGTACTGAAGATTTTCAACCCACAAAACGATTCCACTGAATAAGGTATTTTACACATAGAAAATATCAACCTTGTTGAAATGGCGTCTGGCGGTCGCTGGCTTTATAGAGAAAGATTTCTGAAATTCAATTGACTATTCGGAAATACAATAAATGCTTTCTGAAATTGAATTGACGCTTTCTGAAATTCAAATGATACTTTCTGAAATACAATTGATACTTTCTGAAATTCAATTGACTATTCTGAAATACAATTGATGCTTTCTGAAATTGAATTGATTATTCTGAAATACAATTGACGCTTTCTGAAATTGAATTGACTATTCTGAAATACAATTGATGCTTTCTGAAATACAAGTGACTATTCTGAAATTCATTTGACGCTTTCTGAAATTGAATTGACTATTCTGAAATACAATTGACGCTTTCTGAAATACAAGTGACTATTCTGAAATTAAATTGACGCTTTCTGAAATACATCTGGAAAAGGTGTAGAGATACATAACCTATAAAATAATTGCACTTACTCCCATCTTCCTTAGCAGTTGTACAATCATCAAAATATTGTTTAACGTTTGCATCACAATCTGCTAGTATTTTACAAGGGATGCTTTGGATTTTGCTGTTTTTATCGCTGGATTTATTACTAAGGCTACTTTGTATGATATGAATTGCCGCCATAACGAACAAACAATCAAACAAAACAAAAAATTACTTTTGTGACTTTTGTCAGTTTTCTTCTCAATTTTCCACCTCTTGCCTTGCCAAGTTTTGGACATTCAGCCTACTTCCTCTTCTTATTATTTATTACTGTAACTTTATTTCACTCGCGTAGCATTGAGTTGTAACATTTGACGATAGAGGTCGCGCCATTTTATCACCATCAAGATTGGTAGAACTGATGATTATCATGTAGCAAATTATGCAATGGCTCTACCAACTTTGATCACATTTTAAGGCAAATGCCATTTTACAAGCATTTTATGTTCAAGAAAAAAGCGCTGAAATAATAATACGAATATTCTGTTTATAAAATAAACTAGGTCAAAACGATGTAGTACTTTCAGGAATAATGGTTCAGTCCTTTATCGAAGATAGTTGTGAATAAGTTGTGAATAACGTCGTTTCCTGTACAGGTTTTATTTGTATATATAGTGGAATATGTTGATTGGCGCCAATTTTCATGTTCTTGGCGAGACTTATTCGTATCGACGGCGATTGCAAAAACAGATAAAAAACTTTTGTTAGCAATTTCCCGGATAAAGCAATAAACATTATCGATCTTTATCATAGATTCTATTATTTCCGTATTTTGAGATTCATTTTACCAAACCTTTATTAATAGATTCAAAGAGCGACATTTCGATCAATAATTATATATATATAGATGATGATGAGGGTAAATGAGGGTATCATTTTTCATTAATTGTATTGTAATTGTATCAATATACAATATATTCTGGTGCATGAGGTTAGTTTTCCTGTAAAAAAATACCTATAATATGATTTCATGAACAATTATTGACCCCTTATTTTTATTTCAATGAAAAAGCACGTCACTGTTCAAAATGATGTTCATCAGTTCATCTCTGAAATACTGATCATTTCGATAGTTATTCATATCATATCAGTCCAAATTTGGCAAGAAACGTCCGATTAATAGCTGAGAGAAAAGGGGCATTTAAAGTGAGACACGCTGTATACAAGGTGTTTTTGAAATAAGTAAATATCAGCACATGCATCGATATATGATACAGTCTAACGAATATTCCCATGTTATCAAATTTTTCCGAACTCTCTCAATTAACAAGAAATTTCATCCCGAAAATTGAACATTAAACGAGAAAAAAACCAAGTACGCCTCTTCAAAACAATTTAAATGATTGAAGTTCGCGTGATTGTGCCTCCCGCACAAAAATTTGAACAGAGGTGACGTCAGAATTGCTACAGTGTGGAACTTTGGGTGGAAAAGGGGGTCTAACCTCAATTTTCATTTTAGTCCCTAGGTATATTTTTTATTGGTGCCACGTACTCGATAAAAGGCTTGACATATTTGCACTCATTTCAATGCCACCCTGTGTATAATCTACTATATTTTAATCTTTTGATTCGACTATGGAAGCAAACCCCAACTTTCAATTTTCAAATAGAACAACCCTAAATATTTCGATTCACTGACGAGAAATGTCATTCACCAGCAACGATTTTCTGACAGTCCAAAGCACGCACTCTTCATAAATGATATGTTATTTGAAATCGCCCCTTCCGAGATTTCGAACTGTTCAATTGCGCTTCTCTCAAAAACGGTTGAAAAATATCGTTTTCGTAAACGTAAAAATGATGTTTAAATCATATTTTTTTATCAAAATCACTAAAAAATTTTGTCGAAAAAATTTATCAGTCGATTTCATCATCAAGAATCATTCAAGTGGTTCCCCCCTGTTACAAACTGTTGAATAATACATAAAATAATATTCCCTGTATGGAATTTTATGCCCCCGTGCCGATTTTGATAACAATGGATGAATATAAAGTGCAATTATTATAGCAAAAAACTAAGAAAAATGAAAAAACTTTAACGCCCTGTATCTTTTTCCACAGCAATATTTTAATGAGGCATATCCGCCCTTAGCCTTTGTCCCAATAATTATGATTCACCCTGTACATTTCCACCCACAAATCTTTGGAACATTTCTCCTGAAAGAATAAGGAATTATATCTATCGATTAATTTGATGTATATGATTTCTGCGGTTAAATATATAGTGGTTTTCTTTTATTATTTCGTGTGATACCTCAGAAAATAGTCTTTTCAAACGATTAACCACGGCTATTCTCAGTAGATGGAAAAAATCTAGGTAGCTGATATAAATTTCGTACGAAATATATTATTAGATTGTTTCCTGTTACGTCAAGTGAAAAGGAAGTCCCTTCATTCATTGAAGTTCATTGATAAAACGTTTTGGATGAGTAATAAGATTTTTCAATCCAATGATGATATTGTCACCTCGATGATTCGCGAGTAGTAGGAGGCATTTATACCTACGTCACAAGCTCATTATTGCGTAAAATTCACTTACCACCGATATTTTTCCAGTTCCTCTATAGATAAAGAAAACAACTAATTTTATTATCATCAATGTGTATTACCTATGAGTGGATACCTATAGCTACTTTGTATTTTTGTGGTATTTTATATGGAATAGTTTACAATATTATACAGAAGGATAACATTATTCAGGTGGTTATATATATATATATATATAGGAATAATATTTTTTTTTCTACATTCATGCAAAAAACAGAACTTTATTGAACTATATTTAGTGGAAAAAGAAGTTCTTTATTGCACTTAGTGCAATAAAGTTTTTATTGCCCTCATCTATCATTCTACTTCAACGTGCTGTCATCATGACAAACATTTTCTATAATGCAACAAAGGTGGAATGCAACTGTGGTTATAGAAACGTCAGTCAAAAATTAATTCTGACAATTAACAGAATTGTACCTAGTGCCGCACCTCAATAAATCATTTTTTGCTTTTTGCATGAACGTAGAAAAAATGTTGTATGCAACTCGTGCAAAACATTCACTTTTTGCACTTGTTGCATAAATAACTATTATATGTCAACTGCCCCACATTTTGAAGTGAGACAAGCAAAAAATTTCATCATTTTCGAACCGTCATAACTTTGGATTGAATCAACCAATTTTCAATTTCTTCCAATATTCTAATAGCTCATTTCATTGAGTATTGAGTACAATTTCAGTGTCTCACGTTATTTACCCTTTCCGACATGATGATCTACAGGGTAATATGTGGATATGTGATAATTTTCGAAAAGATTGGGATCGTCCCGTTTGACAGGAATTTTTTTAATGTTTCATTGAGAGCGATAAGATGAAGTAAAATGAGTTTTCTACAAAAGGTTCTGGATTCAAGAGGATTCATACAGGATGTTTTGATACATGGCATTTTTCACAACACATTGCATTCTGAGATGTTCAACCACCATTAACTCTACTTCAACAGAATTTTAGATTGGCATATCTTCAACGCCATCACTGGACAATATGTTGTAGACTTTCGAATGTAGAAATTAATGGAGATACTACGACAAAAGTGCAGAGAATAATTAACACAATATTTTTATGTTCTGGTTCTCACGAAAAGGGATATCCTGTAATGTTCAGAGAACATCGTCGTGAGAACCAAAGGAAACAAGGTGGGGATTAGTGTTCTTCTTGAATTTCTGGAGGTTATATGCCTCGGGGAACACCTCCCTTGGCAATGTTTCCAGAGCCTCGCTGTTCGTTGGATGAACGAGTCTTTGGAAAGAGATGTTCTGCAGGTCTCCAAAGTGACCACGAAGAGGGCGAAGTCTCAACTCGACGGATTAATCTCGCGGGGACTGCCAAGGGAGGAATAATTGTTGATATTTCAGAAGAGCATCGTCCATGAGAATATCTACAGGGTGAGTCATGACTAACCAGCCATAGCCCAATGGCGGATAGAGGAGGTCAAGGTGAGTTGATATATATATAATAAAATATTTTTTGCCCATTCTTTACAGAAATACAGGGCATTATTTGAATTCGGGGCAAAACTCCCATGAACGATATTTCAGGAACGTCTCGATGTAATCGGCTGAAATTCACTAGCAACTTACCTCTAATGACACTCCACAGGATGACATACTATAAATGAAAAATTCCAGATCCGGACTTGGAAAACTCATTTTCTCTTTAGATGTCAAAATTTTGACCTCCTGGATCGGATTTTTCGAAAACTTTTATCAGAATCAGAAAGATCAGGAAAAATACTACAAGTATGGCTTTTCAATTCGTACGGCACACTTCGATCGTTTCGGTAAAAAAATATCAAACAAGATACCGATGAATTTTTCTTCGGTTTCGTCCGGGCATATCACTCTCTACATTCGACTAAAAGTAATTAAATCAAATTTTTCCCTGGAAAGATTCAACAGCACACTTGAGAAAAGGTATAATTCAATAAAAAATTCAGGACCGGACTTGATTTCGGAAAATAACAATCATAATTCCCGAAAAAGATTTGTCAGAATCTTAATATTAATCAAGATTCTCAAAATGTCCTCCTCCAATTTCTAAACATTTTCTGCATCTCTTCGGGAGACCTCTTATGGCTTTTCCAATAATTTGCCTATTATTTCTGATTATATCTGCAGCTGTAACTATCCTCCCCCTCAGTTCGTCTCTGGTGTTGACTTCAGTCTGATAGACCAATTGTTTCATATGCCCCCAAAGAAAATAGTTCAAAACTGTGAGATCAGGGGACCTTCTTTGGTATTCTCTCAATGCAGCTCTTGAATTGCCATCACAAAAACCGTATACAAAAATAATATCTGCATATTCAACGTTAGTGAAATGCAGTGGCATTTTGAAATTATCAACAATGAACTAGATGTCATTTGACAGTTTCAACAACCGTCAAAAATCGAGTCAATGACATACACTACTATATCACAGCCTACTTTTCATGTGTATTCAGAATCGATGAACTACTAAACTCACAATTTGATTTGCTGATTGGGAGAGTTCACAAGAAATGAGATCATATTCAGTATTACTTCAAATCAAAATCCCTCCATGTAGTATAAGTTGGCACGTATATCTGATTCGAAAAAAAATCTGCTACCAAAGCAACAATTGTTCTTATTGAATACAATGTTTTCACATTATCACAAGTGGAAGTTAGATTTCAATTGAAAAT